CGCATCACTAAAATCGCAAATACCCCAATGTAGGGCGTACCCCACTGGTTCGCCGTTCCCGCCGGCCGGTTTAGATGATCACGTGATTGAACCACCGTAACAGTAGATGTAATCGGTTCATCATGACAGCTGTGAGCGAATGAAATTGAGGGCAGAACCCGCGCGGAGCCACTTCAACTGGTCTTCCGACATGGTATGTTTTGTAAGTATCTCAAATACCTCGCCGGTACGCTTGGTGACTTTAAGCTTGACTTCGGCGTTTTGTCGTCCCTCGATAAGGTCTGCCAAGCCGATAGTCTGGACTACGTCACCTGATCCGATGCGAGAGTAGTCGTTCTTGTCAGCGAACCAAAGGGGAAGAACTCCTTGTTTCTGCATCCCAATTAGACTGATATTCCATAGTTGTTCAAGCACAACTCGCCTTCAAGTTAGTCTCGTGAATTCGAGCAAAAGACCTTGCAACAATCATTGCACACCCTTAACACAATTTAGAAACTGCTCGAATGCGATGCGAGATATTGCAACGCACCATAGAATCTAGGCTGGAGTGCAGCATGCTCACGAGCACTACCTTCGCCATAATTGTCATCAACGACCAGAGTCCAAGGCTCATTGCGAGCTTTGAACCGTTTTGCGACTGCGGGAATGGTGTCGGTGTCGGTCTCGCCAGTGGCCTGATCATAGTCGAATGCAACATTCACGTCGCCCCCTTCGTCGTTCACAGCCTGCATTGGTTGTCAGGTTAATATCATACTTAAAGACGGCAGCTTGCGCAACACACCGTAATAACTGCGAATAATAGTCAGAACGAAATGTGCTAAGAGTACGCAAAGACGTACGAAGATTCTCAGAAATGTTAGTAAGATGTCCTTTGTATTTCAACCAGGGGCCCTGTACGTAAGTTAGCTTGGCAACTTCGGTAAACATTTATATCACTTACAGCCGCAGAGATGTGGTCAGTAGTGCATTTCCCTCTTACACGCATCAGTACTTTCAAGGGCGGGAGTTCCAGACCCCTGTTGCCGAAATGACTTGGGAAAGGCTCCAACAATTCAAGACGCTGAGAGTCCGCACAAATGATAATCTCGGTTTCTGGTTGTGGCTCTGGCGTGGGAGAAGGGTAGTAGTTGGTGTTACCTTGAGTGAAACCTTCTGTTGGTAAATCCTGTCCGGCGGGTGGAGCGAACCTGAACGGTTTGCCAGAGGGCAGAGTCAGGGTATCCGTTATCGGATTAAACGAGAGTGATCCAGAAAATGCCATAGCCGTCACAATCGTAGGTGATGCGAGAAAGTTCATAGTGAGTCGGTTTCCATCATTGCGAGACTTGAAGTTCCTGCATCATTAAAGATAAGTAATGTCACAGGTTAAAAGGCGTCTTTCTTACCTATTGAAAGATGTCAAAATTGCTTTGAAAAATGTTTAGCTTGTCCAATCAATATTTACTAGATCCATTTACCGTTTTCTTCATCCTTCATATCATCTCGTTTCCACTAAGTGAAGAAGTCAAAAATTGTGATGAGGGATAAATGTAGTCCGTACTTGACCGATACAGGGACCGCAAGCATTTGCCAAAACCACAGCGCCGACATCTTCCAAAGTGCTTGTAATGCCGTCGCGTTCCATAGTCGCCCGAATCTGTTCAGAACCGGGAGTGCAAAGGAAAGGAACCTTGGTGACCAGGCCAGCAGCCTTTGCTTGTTTGGCCAAATCTGCTACTTGCGTCTACATCGGGTCAGCAGTGTGCAATCAAATCAAAAATAATTTACCATGTCTTCATATGAACTATTAGTGCACGAACCAATGAGGCCGGCGGAAAGCTCGTCCTTCCAACCCTGCTCTTTCACGAAAGACCCGAACTTTGATAAAGGTGTTGCCAAATCAGGAGTGAAAGGACCGTTGATAGTTGGTTCGAGTTCGGACAAGTTCTGTAGATGCGAATAAGATACCTAGTCCGTTGAATCAAGGACAACCGTACTATTTCAATAACTTCGTCATATTCAGCACCTTTATCAGCGTTCAGGAAGCCCATTGATGCAGCATGGTCAGCAGCACGAGCGACGGGCGCACGTCCTGTTGCATTCAAGTACGCGCGCATATTCTCAGTGTATGGGAAAGTAGAGGTGGTAGCACCGACTTCAGCTCCCATATTAGCAACCGTAGCGAGACCTAGCACGGAATCCTGATCAGTGCAAAATTAACCTACATTTCTGGTTCTAGTTCACCTGTACATGATTGGTTGGCCACACCAGGGCCAAAGTACTCCAGAATGCGTCCAGTGCCTCCCTGGATATGGGTTCATAACTCATTTTCACAAGTTGGTAAATGACTTACCCGAACTGTTAATTTTCCAGCGAGGTGAAGGATCAAGTCCTTAGGCGTTGCCCACCCACTGAGTTTCCCAGTCAAGTGTATGCCTGATATCATTTATGTTAGAAGGCGAAGGCACCGCATAGCTATGATCTAAATTATCTCACCAACAACCTGAGGGGCCTTCAGTTCCCAAGGAGTTCCAGTCATAGCGTCAACCGCATCAGCACCTCCAACACCAATAGCCAACAGACCGAGCCCTCCGGCATTAGGCGTATGTGAATCTACCACTACGTCAGTCCAGCAACCTAAGTTGTCGCAAGGCCAACTCACCTGTGCCCAGCCTGTTTATTGACATCTTTCAAAACCTATAAGGCACATGCAACACGGATGCACTCACATGAGTATTCCTGGAGCAGCATAGTTCTCGAGTACGATCTGGTGAATGATACCGGAGCCCGGTTTCCAGAATTCGATACCGTACTTGCGAGCAGCACTTTCAAGGAAATCGAACACTTCTTTATTGGAAGTAATCGACCGCTTGTGTCCTTCTCATGAGTAACAAGTGCTGTTCCGAGGACGGAACCAAACCTTCAAGTCTGATTCTGCACCATTGATAGCTTGAATGAGATGGTCACAGTGTATGCTGGTTGGAACGGCACATTGAGAGAGACCGGCACTCATGAACTGAAGCCTAGCAGGAATGTCAAATCACAATATCTGCACCAAGGACAAATATAATGCATACAAAGCCATTCTATAAACAAGTACATGATCAATATTGGCTCAGAATAATGTGCAATAATAACATACTGGGCGGAAGCATCCTGCATTGCGACTCGCTGAGGAGTAAGCTGCAGGTAGCTCTCTCCCCTGATCTTCCCTCCTCCAGACAGGCTCTTTTCCGGATCATTGAGATGACTGTACAAGATTTTTTCGGCTAAAGTCAGAGGACGGTTGTTCAAGAGCTCCCGAACGTGCTCCAATTTTCCAATAAGCTGGGCATAAGGTGGGGTGATCGAAGAACAGTCCTTTTCGTAAAAGGGTGTGTGTGTTGCTAGACTTCGCCTGAGGGTGGGTCCTGCAGCGAGGGCACTGCTCCGCAGGGTTGTTGAAAGCATCTTGATGCTTATCCTCTGCCAGTGCCTTCCAGACCCAGTCTTATATTGAAAGAACACGTTTTCCGTATTCGGTTCGGTTCAGTCACATATTTTTCTCGATCCAATCATATCGAAACGCTTATAAATTACACTGATAGTACTAGCGAGCCGGCGATCGCCACTGTCTTTGTTCTTAGGTATTGTACTCCAGCTATGCTTTATCCCTGACAAATCTCCTGGCTTGCTGGTGATATTTATCACTTGGTCTTTGCATGCATGTGACGTGTCTTCTGGCCTGACAGACACCAAAACGTACCACACTCCGACTGCATTTGCAGGTGAGTGGTATTCCGGGTGTTCAGCGCTCAGGTACCAGACAATCAGATTGCCTTATTGCGAGCGCGTTCAACTGTCGCAGAAGCAGTGGTGATAACCACCAGAATGTCTGAAACTCACTCATACGGAACGGTGATGTAATATTGCGGGTGCATCACAGTATATGGGGCAATCAAATATGTCATGTCCTGAGGGGGTAGGCAGTCACACACGAGTGGCGCGGAACGGAGCCCAGTTGACGATAAACGACCTGTAAAATCAACGTAAAGAATAAACTTACATCACAGGAGAACAGCGAGAATTCAGCAAAAACCCGAACTCGGCAGGTACTCATGTACATAGTGGTAGAAGAGGAGCTGCCATATGAGAATAAAGGTAATGAGCATCGTGAACAGAGAATAAGCTCAAACGAGCCTGAGTTAAAATGGATCACGGCCCATGTACCGGCAATTCCCGTTAGTCATCGACATCATTTGGACAAGTTGCTTTCGTACTGTGCCTTACTCCTAGGCCATTCGACTCCAAAGAAAAGGCACGAAATGTCAGCTGCAAATTTATGGTTATGAATTTTACATGGGAGGCGAGGTTTAGACGCACCCATGCCACCCCAGGAGCTCAGCCTGACGCTCACACCACACCAGCCCGGCTTCCCCACAGCCTTGTAAAAGTACTTCTTCACCGTATCCTGAGCATCCTAGGAGAGCGCTTTGACGACGTTAATTATCTCTGATGACTTCGTGCTATTCAGTATCGAAACAACGAACAACGGTCTGCAACGTTTGTTGCGCAAATGTCAGCGTATTGGTGTGGTGTCGTGCAACAATAAAGTCGCCTCAGCTTCCTCGTCATTTGGCCCATAAGGTCTGCTGTCCAGCGCGATTTCCAGGGCCCCTGGTATGTCTTCTCTGCGTGACTGAGTGATGCTTAGGTTATATCATGTTGCGAAGTAGCGATGGGACTGTACTTGGCTAATGTGCTCCGGACTACTTTCTGTTTCGCATCGCTCAAGACCTGAGCGGGATCGCGTGGATCTGGTTCACATAGCTCGCCCTCCAGTAGGAGTAAATTCAAAAGCGACAAATCCCTCCCACAGGCCCAGCCAGACTAGACTGGTAACCACTCTCTACTACGTCTATCTGATGTTAAGTGCCTGACGTATCTTGTTATTCAAAACTGTCTATGGTAGTTTTTATGGCTACTTGTCTAATGTTCAACTGGCTAAGCCTCATGTTGTTAGAGATGTAATGTTAATGAGTTCACCAAAGTGGTTCGACTGGAGTGTCCTTCCACCCCTTTGCCCTGGCCTCCCAATACCCTCCGACATATGTCCACTCATCCCCGTCCTGCTTAAACCACCTCGGTGTTCGATTTATGCCACGTCTTCGCCTATCCCTCTGTATCTCCTCAACACGTATCTTCTGAGCCTCCGCCTCATCACCGTTCCCATGTTCTAGTGCACGCACATCGGGTCGGAATCGTGAATCCGTAGGAGGCAGACGGCCCTCGAGGTCGCTCGTGATCTCGTTCAATGTCATCCCAAACGCAGTAAAGCCATAGTACTGAGGGGACTCCTTCGGAAATGGAGTGATGCGCCAGAGGACATGCAAGTAGGAAGAGTCGAGCGCCTGCGCGACTTGTTCGTCCCATTTGCCTTCTATGCGGGCAGTTACATCACGGGATGGAGAGAGTATTATACCAGAGACTTCATTCGATGCACCCCAATATCCGCTTTGTTTGAAGTCAAGGACGCAAGTTGCACCATTCGTTGTATTTTCAATGGTCATTTTGCCACAATGTTCCAGGTACTTTGTTCCCATCATCAGGTTTCGCATGAATGATGAAGGTTTGTTCCTGCCAGTGTCAAATCTTTACACGGAAAAGGCACGATCAACCGTGGCTCACCATTCATAGGTGTCATTCCCAATCCTTAGTCGCGTTGTCCCAAGGGGAATGATTTCCAAACTCTTGCCTATATTTAAATCAAACACGTCAACCACCGGCACCGCTATTAGGCATGATCCTCACCCCAAAACTTGGTCTTCCCGGCCGAAGTCGCGTTCAATTCCCAGCCTTCGCCTTCTGCGTGGTATGCAATTACGACAGGATTGTGGGACACCTTCTCAGCCAGGAACTTCATTCGCACATCTTCAAATGTTTCAGCAAGCATGGGATTGCTAACCCAATTGTTAGGGTCATCGGAAGAAGTAAAATACGATGTTCCTAACTTACAAGCCTTTGCGACCGGTCCGATATCTTGTGTGTGCATAGCCGGACACGGCAAACGCAGCAACGAAGCACAGGCGTTGAGTGGGATCCTTGGCCTCAGTTGCTTGGTGTAGTAAGTTGTAATATTCCAGTTCTTCTGCTGTACGTTGTAACAAAGTCAGGGGTTCATTGAACGATACGGGCAATGCGATTGTAGACAAGTCCTTCAACAAATTCATCAACCAAGGATCTTCAGTATCCGAAGCACCAAAAGTCACCTTTCCGACATTGTTCTTGAGAATGGCAAACAAACTGCCCTCGTCACCGATCGGTCCCGAAGGTAAGCGCGTCCGTCGTACCACTTGACGAGCGTTCGCGGAGGGGTCTGTATCATGGACTAGAGGTGAGGAATGCTCTTCATCGTCGCTAGATACTGTTTGATTTAAGCTGCTATTTTCAGATTGGAGAACTATGGGCTCCCTTTCCTCATCTGGGTTGGGAACATCCAAGAAAAACTCCTCGCCTAGGCCCTCTTCGGCGTCAAACCATTCGTTATGTGCGCTGTCACTCAGACTCGACATGGAGATCGCTAAGTTTGATCTACGAGTGAGTGCTGTATTGAAGCGAGAAGTTGAGAGAGGTTCTTCTTCCTTCTCTTCTGTAGTAGGAGGAAGAGGAGAGCCGCGGGCTGTTGGTGGGGCTGTGACATCGTGCGCTAAGGACTTGAGTAGGGCAGCATGTTGTGACTTAAGAGATGCAAGGGTCGTGTTAATTTGTTGAAAGCGAACATTTGACGGAGAATCAAGGTTGCTCTTTGGTAGCGTGCCATCCTCGTTAACCTGGTGGGCTGAAAGGACTCGAGTCAACAAATGCAGTGATCCAAAGGAAGGATGGAGGAACACATTTTTTGAACATGTTGAAAACATCTTTCGGATGGTGGTGATGCTTATCCTTCTCCGACTTGGACTTCAGTGAAAGGTGGTTTCTCTCGTGCGTACTTTCGGATTGGAGGGTGGCGAAAGCAATTTCCAACTCAGATATTGTCTGTTGAGTGCGTCAGCGACGTACATTTATACCGAGCAATAGGGCGAGTACATACAGAGCCAATATCCTCAGCTATTTGAATTCCAGATCTATTAAACTGGGATTGACTCAGTCTAGGTGTGATCTTTCCTGCAAGGGACCGTCGTCCTTCGGGATGGACAAACTGTCTACATGTACCACTCTTAGTGTCAAACACGTCGGAATTCCAGGATCCTGATTCACCTTATTGCAGTTAACCATTTATTGAAGTCATCTGCGGTCAAACACTTTATATGAAACGTGGCATTACTTGAGTCTATGTGTATATCTTTACGACCAACAGCAGTGGATAACGCAGCATGAGGGAGGAATATCTGGTCGCGTATGGGACGTTTTGGATCGATGGAGTAGGACAAGGATCCTGACTGGTCGAGGACAAAGTACCTCCGTGCAAAACCTACACAACGACCGGAGTTCCATGAGCTGGGAAGGTCTTGGAAGGTCAGGGCCAAGGAACATACCTTGCATCTTTTTCCTTCTCTTCTTGAGGACCCATCCTTCACACACTGCTTCCGATTTCTGGGTCGTATCGACGGAGATAGGGAAAGACTGTCGAGCAGATGACATGTGCCACTCGCGCTCGGGCGCCAATAATGAGATCACCGTTGTCGAAACGCAGGCACAGAAAGCAGTGACCAGTTATATCTATAGGAAGCAAGATTTGCCCTCGTCGCAAGATGTCGGACGTGTTCCGTGGTAACGATTACTTTAAGCTTGGTCAGAGAAGACACGATTCCGGCCCACGCGTTCATTAGCTGCACCTAAAGGACTGGGAAAGACAACGTAAAGACGCATGAAAGTCTCGGGGTCGACCGGGTTGCGATTGGCCCAATTCAAGAGTCTTTCATTTCTGGCGGCAGCCTTGTCCTCACCACAATATGTTGTGAGATCGTCGGTGAGTCTCAAACATTTGTTTTCGCAGTGGAACATGCATTTTTGAAAGAATTTTCTCTCGCTGTCGGTCATATTGCCCACGACAATCTGTCTGTCACTCATACGCGCTAGCCCGGGCCAAGACGAGGATGCGCCCCAGCTAAACTGAATATGGTTTCACCTTCGTTATGCTATATGCTTTTGGCTAGGCATCTTTGCGAGAATTACGCCAGCGATATGGAGATGTAGCCTGGTCTCGAATTTCCGTTATCATAAGTGAATTGAGCCATTGGGCTGTGCCACATCAGTGACCATCCGTTTGGCTGATTCAGAGCATGGGAGCAAATTGATATGTGGAGTCTCACGCCCTTGCGCTCCGGTAGACTTTTAATCTAGTTAATAATCCATCGAGGTTGCCCCATCTCTCCATCACAATTCCATCATCCTCTCTTCTTCCTTAACCACATCCTTCAAAAACACAATGTCGGCCCCAGTGTGCGTCCTACTCATCCGATCATGGCGATCATGCAGAATTAATATACTGACCCCTCTCCCGTAGAGGTGATATCGGCCTCATCGGTCTCGCCGTCATGGTAAGATATCTTTGCATAGCAGCCGTCGCATAATGTGAATTTGGTACAAGGGTCAAAATCTGATCCTCAACATGAACGACAAAGGCTTTACTGTTGTTGCTTACAACCGTACTACCAGCAAAGTCGACGATTTCCTCGCCAACGAGGCAAAAGGTTATCTATGACCTCATACCCCTCATCCCTATCACTGACTCGAGCTCTCCCTATAGGCACCAAGGTCCAGGGCGCACACTCCATCCAGGAGCTCTGCGCTAAACTCAAGCGCCCTCGCAAGATCATCCTTCTGGTCAAGGCTGGTCCTGCAGTCGACAGCTTCATCCAGCAGCTCGAGCCCTACTTGGAGGCGGGCGACATCGTTATCGATGGTGGCAACTCACACTACCCCGATTCCATCCGCCGCACCCAGGAGCTTGAGGCGAAGGGCCTCCTTTTCGTTGGCTCTGGTGTCTCTGGTGGTGAGGAGGGTGCTCGTCATGGTCCCTCCCTCATGCCTGGTGGTTCAAACGCTGCCTGGCCCGCTATCAAAGAGATCTTCCAGAAAACAGCTGCTCAGGTCAACGGTGAACCCTGCTGTGACTGGGTCGGAGAGACTGGTTCTGGTCACTACGTCAAGATGGTTCACAATGGTAATTATCATCATTTCCCCCCTGTAGTTTGTAGGGCTAAGGCAATCATTCCAGGTATCGAATACGGTGACATGCAGCTGATCGCCGAAGCCTACGATATCCTCAAACGTGGCCTTGGTATCAACGAGAGTGAGATAGCTGACATCTTCACAACGTGGAACAAGGGTGTCCTTGACTCCTTCCTCATTGAAATTACTGCCAACATTCTCAAATTCAACGACGACGACGGTGTACCCCTCGTCACCAAAATTCTTGACAAGGCTGGTCAGAAGGGTACCGGAAAATGGACGGCAATTGCTGCCCTAGACGCTGGCACTGCCGGTATGCTACTACTCATCCGAACTAAGTGCGATCTTTAACCGCGATCAATAGTCACGCTTATCGGTGAGGCTGTGTTCGCACGTTGCTTGTCTGCTATCAAGGATGAGCGCGTGCGCGCCAGCAAAGTTATCAACGGCCCTCAAAGGGATGCCTTCCGCGGTGACAAGCAACAGTTCATTGATGACCTTGAACAGGCATTGTATGCCTCCAAGATCATCTCTTACACACAGGGCTTCATGCTCATGAGGGAGACCGCCAAGGAGGTTGGTAACGCTTAAACAGCCGAAGTATTCACTCTAACCGGAAGTCTAGTTGAACTGGAACTTGAACTACGCTGGTATCGCTCGTATGTGGCGAGGCGGATGCATCATCAAGGTATGTGAACTCAACTTTCCTGCTCTTGAGGCTTACATTTTTGTCACAGAGTGTGTTCCTTGGTGACATCACTTCCGCTTACGAGAAGAACAAGGACCTCGAGTCTCTGCTCTTCGATGACTTCTTCAACAAGGGTTCGTATAAACAGTCATTGATTGGTAACATCCAATGACATTGTATGCAGCTGTCCACAAAGCACAACCCGGCTGGAGGCGTGTCATCGCTCAGGCTTGCCTCTGGGGCATTCCCACTCCTGCTTTCTCGACTGCCCTTGCTTTCTTCGATGGTTACAGGAGTGAAGTGGTTCCTGCCAACCTCCTCCAGGCTCAGGTACGCACATATGGCGTCTGACCAGACAGCATGCTCACCAATTGTCTAGCGTGATTACTTTGGTGCACACACCTTCCGTGTGGTGCCCGGTAAGGAGAACTCCCGCCTACCCAAGGGCGCTGACATCCGTAATTGCTCCGTCTCTATCTGTCTGCATGTCTCTAACCATGTAACTTTCAGACATCAACTGGACTGGCCGTGGAGGCAATGTCTCTGCCAGCTCGTACTCCGCTTAAAGGGGATATGAAACACGTACGACCAACTTGTCTTGTCTCAATAGATTCTATCCTGCGTTTCCTTCATCAATTTTGTATCGCAACTGTATTGCGGGTGCACTATTAAATAAGTATGATACGTATCATGTTGTGGGAGTATCAAAATAAATCAATGACTGCCCCTTCTATAATTTTGGCGTGAGGACCAGAAGCGGGCCGGCCGGATGAGTTACATCTAGTTTCAAAAGAGAACAGCCCATTCGATCGATACTCTTAGACTCTTCATGTGCGGCATCTTCTGCTCGCTTCACGTAGGATGCTGTGGCCACACCGGTAACATTGATGGCGGACCGAACAATACCGTTTATCACGAGTTGTCGGAGCGATTAAAAGTCGCCAATGCCGCTCGTGGTGTGTTTAATGCATCTCCGCTCGACGGCTAGGCTAACCGATCGAGGTACTACCCCACAGGTCCCGATGCACAAGAAACCCATCACGTCCGAGTCCAAAGGATATGCTCTGGTGAAGCACAGGCCTCATCTCTAAGCAATACGTGCAGCCCGGCAATCGATCTCGAGTTCTTTGCTTCTGAACTCCGGCTTCGAGGTGACGCACCCATAGTGCAGCCTCATCAACAGGATGGGGATGTCTTTTGCTGGAATGGCGAAGTTTTCGAGGGTTTGAATGCGAGTCGGAAGCCTCTACCTTCGTGGCCAGGGTTAATACCATTTTGACATAGGTCAATGCATCTGAAAATGATGGCGCAAAACTCTTTCAAAGCATACACACTCTCTCTACGATGGATGATCTTCCTTTCCTGTTGGGGAGGATCGAGGGACCGTAAGTTATTTTCGTTGTGAGCGCATCTTTCTCTGCTGAGGTTCAGTACGCAATAGATATGCATTCGTCTATTACCATGTAGGCTGGGCTGGCAGTGTTCTAATGTATCGTCTAACATTTACTATCCATAGGCCGAATCCCAAAAATTATACTTTGCTCGAGACCCTCTTGGGCGCCGATCTCTGCTCATTCACAAACCTTCTGTGTTTAATCCATATTTCTTACTTGCATCCGTCTCTGTTGGAGATGATCAAGGATATGTCATGGAAGAACTGTCCACTGATGGGATATTTTGCCTTGATGTGGGACAACTATGTGAATCCAAAGAAGTAAATTAGCTCGCGCTAGACGTTCCATCCTAGTCCTAACCTATGTAGGTCACGCAACATTTCGACAGCAACTTGACATGTATTCCACGACACATTGATCGGCGAATTCTGCCATTCGTGAGTACATTTGAGATGACATGTGCTTTTGATGATTTGACGACCTATTGTTAGGCAAAGCTTAATCGCGTGAACACCGCACTTCCTCCGGATGTACCACCGCTCGTGCCCTCATTGGACTCTGAAATATTACCGCATGATCTGGCCATCGCCGTTGATAATCTTATCGATCACCTGGACAATAGTGTGATGCTTCGTGTTCGAAATATCCCGCGAAGAGCGTCGTCCGAAAAGGGGAGAGCGCAGGTTGCAGTCCTCTTTAGTGGTGGCATCGATTCAACCATGCTAGCCTTTCTTGCTCATAGGTACTTCGATGAGTCATGCTCTATTGTGGCGCTTGTTCTTATTTTGTGTCCCTCTAGACATGTAGCGCTGGATGAACCTATAGATCTGCTTAATGTGGCCTTCCAGAATCCGCGAAAGATTCAGGTTCAAACTGACGGCAACATAGGAGCTATTCCCAAGCGCGAGAAGAAGCGACAACTCAAAGCAGCGGAGACCAATGGAGTGCTCAAGGAATCCACCTCGTACATGGTTCCGGACCGTGTGACAGGCCTGCAGGAGGTCGAAGAGTTCAAGCGGACATGTCCCGGCAGGACATGGAATTTTGTGAGTATTAATTCTTCGACAGGAACGTTGCTCACTCCACTAGGTCGAGGTGGATGTTCCATACGAGGTCTGTTCCTACCCTTAGACTCAGATCGACGAGGCTTCTGATCCATATCAAATAGGAGTCTCAAGCCGCGCGGGCAGCTGTCGAAGCCATCATGTTCCCTGGTCGAACAGTAATGGATCTTGTAAGCTTACCTTCCTAAGTTAGTCAAAATTCTGACGTTACGTACCCCTAGAGTCTTGCTATGGCGCTTTACTTTGCCTCCAAAGGGGTAGGCCGACTCCGAGTTTCGGCAGCGACTGATGATTATCAGCCATACACCAGTACAGCACGAGTCCTACTCAATGGCCTTGGGTCCGACGAGTTACTTGGTGGATACGGCCGTCACCGCACTGCATACGCAACCCGAGGCTGGCAGGGCGTCATCGACGAGGTAAGTCACCTTTCTCTTCCACAGTTCACATCCTCATGCTGTCATCCAGCTCCAGCTCGAACTCGACCGTATACCGACTCGCAACCTCGGACGAGACGACCGCGTGATTTCCTCACATGGCAAGGAAACGCGCCACCCATTCCTTTCGCTTACGGTTGTCTCTTTTCTCGCGGGACTCCCCGTGCATCTTAAACTTGATCCGCGGCTGGAGCTTGGGCTCGGGGATAAAATGCTACTGCGGCTCGCTGCGCGAAAGGTGGGGCTTCTTGAGGCAAGCATGAGGAAGAAAAAGGCAATGCAGTTTGGCAGTCATTCCGCTCGCATGGAGCCTGGCGAGGCAGAGAAGAGGGGGGATCTTATGATTAGGACTGTCTCAGAGTCATAGATGGAATATACTTGCGCATCCTCACATTGCTATCTGCGATAAGCTTGGCTTAGACATCTTTAAGATCACACCCCGGTAACTTAAAACAACGGCTTGGCGTGTATGGCCGTGTAATTCCAGACGTAGTGCTACAATATACATCCTAGTAAATACAACGATAGATCTATAACAAGTCTGTGTTTCCTCCAGTGTCGTGAATGTTTCATGATGTGTTCTGGTAGATCGTAACGCTGGACACTTCCCAGTCTGTAGCCAATGAGCGATGTCGGATAGAAACAAGATTCGGAACTCACAAGCTTGGCTGAACGAGCCACCACTAGCCTGAACGAATGCCGAGCACGTCGAGAAACCAGTCTGTTGTGCGCAGCTCACTGCTTGCCCAGGCACGCCTGTGCCGCTCCAAACGGCGCTTGCCCAGTCACCACTGCATGCCAATTACTATCAAGATACTTAGTTTTGTATGAATAGAAACTTACCAAAGCGTGGTATCGAAAATAGCAGAATGGGTATTGAAATATTGATATGGATTGCAATCCGTTGAGGGCCAGTCGGCCATAGGAGCGGGCCAATTCTGAGGCTGTGGTGCTCCTGCAGAGATATCTGATGGTATTGATCCACGAGGGAAAAAGTATACTTTAATGCCGGAGTTGTCCCAGAGCACTGCACCCACCATTAGCTTATTTAAAGAAGACCATGGTAGAATACTCACTAGCATAAACACCGCCACCAATTCCATTGAACCCCGATCCAAACGAGACGCTCGAGTTAGAACGAATTCCACACCCCTGGTTACCAGTCTGAGCTGCTGAGCAATCAGTAGACGCAACCAAAGTGCCAGACATATTAAGCAGGGCACTGTTGGTGGAGGGTAATGTACATCCTGGGTTAGTGTGAATCGTTGCTTGATTGTTCGTGTAGTTGTTCACGCCCTCGATGATGTCGATCTCGCCTCCGGCTGGCCAATTAGGGCCATTGGTCCAAAAAGCTAACACCGATGTCAGAAAAATCCGACAAAATGAAACACATCGCTACACACCAGGCCACGTTGCACATCCAGTAGGCATATGCACGGCGTCCATCACAACCAAGCCACCATCGAAAGTGGCTTGAGTCGTGATTCGCACACTCTGCCGATTAGTCTGGACTTGTGGCGTTGTTTCAACGCGCATCACGGCGTTCCCGTTCGAGTTAATCTCGATGAGGCCTGCGCTCTGAGCGGTGCTTTGATCTACATACTGAACATTCCCACTTGTCGGGTCTGCCGCAGTGAAGAAGCTCCAGCCGTTGAAGAATGTTTGCCCACTGTAACTATTTGTTGCCTTCCAAGATGATGATGCGACACTGGTACTTGACGGCGCAGCCGTTCCAGTGGAAGTCGCATTTCCGTTCATGTTTGGGGATGAAGATGAATTGCCAGATGAAGGCATGCTGACACCCTCCCCATCGGAGCCAACGCAGTAGAAGTTCAGATTGGATGAGGAACTGGGCTGTGTGGTCAGGATGCCCCCGAACGCCACGCGGAGGTCGCGCGCGAGGCCAGCGCTGCGTTTGACGGCGGCCTTGTGGGCATGGGTGAGAATTAATGATTTCCCTTGCACCAGGGGCACAGGGGCGAGTGCGAGAGCAATGAGCAGAAGGAAAGTGTACATTGGGAGTCGTGATTCGTGAGGGCGGTAATTAGATGGGGGTGTGGAGGTCTAGTGGACAGATGAACGTGCTCTGCGATTAAAAGAGCTCACGAGTGATCGAAGCACCGGGCCACGATCTAGAGCGTGAGCAGCGGAGAAACTTATTGAGCCTAATGGTCCAATAATAAGTAGAGAGAAGTGGAAAGAGTTAGAGTGCAGAGAGACTTTAGTTTTTAATACAAGCACACCTTATCAAGCGACTTACACGCGATAAACCCGTTCTGCTTATTTGATTTCGAAAATGAGTCTGCCTCACTCGGAACTGCCTCGGCCTTTTAAAAACACGAGGCCGGTCAGGCGCTTTGAAACGTTAAGGGTCCTACGAGTCTAAGGAACGGTTCAACCGTACGTTGGCGTAAGTCTATAAGGAAGAGAGATTAAAAGCAACAGAAGAAAAATTGGAGATTGGAAGGCAGCAACCATTGTCATTGTGGTTTTTGTGGCTACGGCACAAGGATGAGAATTATGATCACAGCGTCGTGGAACAATGGTAAGATTTAAATCTAGAATTCAATTACTCCATTAGGAAATTACTTGCATTCCTCATTCCGGGGACCTGACCAGGTGACACGCAACAGTAAAGTCTATTCGTCACAAGCATCCATTCGTAATGATTCATCCAACATGGGGCATCGGAAACCGTTAAAAAAAGAAAACTCATCAGCCACGAGACAAAAAAACTAAAACATAAGTATACGATTAAGAAAAGAAGATGCACAACAAGGCAAAGGATGTACAACGGAAAGGCCAAGCACAGACCGTGAACGAAGGATATATACCGTTCCTACTAGCCACCCTGGCTAGTGGTGCGAACCAGACGAGAACGCCTCCCGCACGCTCCTTCTGAGTTCCTCATCCCTGGCACTGCTAACAGAAGACCCCGCCATATGAGACCCAGCTACGCTTCGCGGAAGTCCTCCATCAACATCCCCGTCAACAAACTCTAGAATCCGCCGTGCAAGCAGTTGGATCTCCCCCTGACCATCGCCAGCATCGGTATCTGCATATGACTGTGACTGTGACCGGTGCGAGCGAGGCGTACCAACAGAAGACGTCGCCGATGGTGTACGTGACAGTGCAAGCTGTCTGATCGAGGGGTTCAAAAGGCCAGAAAGGCGGATATTGCTGATCAATTGAGGATCTCCCGATTCCAGTAGCTGCACGATCGTCCAGACCGCGATGTGCTGAAAGGTGGCGTCTACGCTCGTCAAGAAATTATAGAGGTATCGGTGCATGCCGCCATCAGGCTTCTCCCATACGTCGTTAAATGCAGAGTAGTCATCAGATGCAATTCGGCCATCTTAAAAAAGGTCAATTTCTGGAAAAATCAAACCTAGCTAGACCCACCTTTCGATGATAGATTACCAAGGGCGGCAGCACTGTTGCCCTGGACTTCTGAGCTAGGTGAATTCGTCAACGGAATCAGTACTTCACAGATACCCATCTCAAGCAATTGGCCCTTGAGCTCATCTGTCGAACCCGTCAGTAGAGACTATCACAGAACGCATGTAACTGACCGCTCAGGGCTAACACGGCGACACAGGCAGTCATTTCGCTCTGCACATTCATTGGCACTTCTAGCACGAGTTCTTTAATGCTCTGCACCGCGCCTGCTTTCACGATCGCCGTCTTATTCTTCTCCGAGCTGGCAGCAAGATTACGCAGTGTGGAAATGGCATGGCATTGAACCTCCTCGTTGTCTTTAAATGATAGAAGATTAATGAGCGGTTGCAAGAACCCGGACTCGATGATAGGGGACTCGTTCTGTGGGTGAATGGAGACGTTACGGACACAGGCAGCAGAAGATAGGATGAGTGGGAGGTAAGTAGACTGGAGCAGTCGGAGAAGTGAAGTAAGACCGTCAGCTTTGACGATTTCTAGTTGATATTTCTCTGCGGAACCAATGTTAAACAGAAGAAACGTCAAAGAGAAGAACAAGTACCATCACTAGCCAAATTCCGTAGAGCAAGGGCAGCTTGACACTGAACCTTTAAACTCGGGCTATCCATAAGGGCTACCAAGCTCGTAACGAGCTTTGATTCGTTCTGTGCTAGTTTCTTTCTATTTGCTCCATCGACGGCAATATTACTCAATGCGGTCGTGCAATAGTACTGGACATCTGTGTCCATCGAATTCAACAAGCTCACCAGCACGGGGATGGCACCGGCGTTTACAAGCTGCTGTCGATTCTCATCTATAAATGTTCATTCAATAATAAGTTCTCCGATGGGAGCTGTTACGTACCTGAATGGGTCATGTTTAGTAGGGCCCCAGTAGCGTTTCTTTGAACGCGCATATCCTTGGACCGTGCTAAGCGAGTAAGCGGAACAAGTGCGCCTGACTTAGCGATCTTCGTCTTGTTGTCATCTTAGGGTGTCAAACGTTCAAGTGACAGAAGCCAATCAGAAACGACACGCAAGTGATTAGAAGCAGGTCAATCATCGATAATCACCATCGATATGGGCTAGACTTACCATGCGTTGCAAGGTTTGTGACACAGCCTACCGCGTTACACTGCACCTCGACATTTGGGCTCAACATCTGGCGAATGAGTGGCTCCAGGCCTCCGAGTTTCACGATGAGGAGCTTGTTATCAGCTGTATAGATGACATCATTAATGTCATGATTGGGAGCATGCATGAGCGTGGTGTAACGCACTGTTAACGGCCAAGTTTCCAAGGGCAGCGCTAGCAGCACGCTGCACCTCCGTGTCCTGGCTGCTCAGAAGGAAAAGAATTGGGTCGAGCGTATCCCGCCCCACGGGGCGCACTTCCTTCTCAGTGATTTCGGCGAATGCAAGTGCAGCACTGCGCTGCAAGTCGACATTATCGGAAAAAGAGAGGGTCGTCAACGCGGTGAGTGGGGAGCCTTGGAAAAAGTTGGTGGTGGTGCGGTCTATGTGCTCATGTGAACCGAAGTTAGCTTTGCCTATGTTGAATACATACTCTCTAGATATTGGAGAAGGTCTGCGACTGCCTCTCGTTCATTCTCGAGAAGAAGAGGCTCATACTGCTGAGATCTCCTGGAACGGACTTGTAGAAATTTATGAGGGGGATTCAAGTCCATATTAAAGTTGGTAAGACTTACAACAGGATTCACAACAACTGCTGACAGCGCCCATAGCTCCGTACGAGCAAAAAGTATACAAAGGGGTAAGGAAAGACCAGAAGAACAGAAAAAGGGGAGGAGGATAGGAAAAGGTGTATAAAGGAAAATTAAAGGTATGCCAACGAAAGGCAAGCAACTGGTCTGCGTTTCAAACATCTCGTGGGTAACTGCGGTAATCGCCGCCCTGTCACACTCATGTCACACTCTTTGCACGGTGCTTCATCGCCGTCAACCCTGTGCTTCAGACTTCTTCAGTTCTCTTTAACGGAATAATTCGCGTCACGAACGATAGCTCGTCTATAGCTGGACCGCAATCGACTGCGCATACTGACTGCCGGTAATGTTCTATGTGTGCCAGGCTCGGTCGCCAAATGTTGAGGGACGGCAGACGTACAAGATCATTTTTAAGGTGGAATTTTCGGCTGACCATCGAGGCAAAATTATTTCTACATGTAAGTCCATCGCCAAGATATGCCATCCGTGATAATTATGTGGTCTCAACGTCACTTGGACTGTGTTTGCCAATGAATTTCCGCATTTTCTTGGTTACCGTCTCCCGATGGTCAGCTCAATCGACCGATACGGGCAGAGGCCTTTGATTGTCATAGTCCCGAGAACCACTGTAACCATAGAACGCTTCCTGCGAGGGGCGCTCGGACCTGGATATTGAGGTGCGGGTATCGCGGCTTCACCATCGAGGGCCTCATTGCGTTTGCCGAGAATAAATTCGTGGAGAAATATCGTTCTCACTGTCGGAGCTAGAGCGCTGTCCCTGCCCAATCTCATCGAAATGCTTATAATGTTTTATTAACTGGAGATTGTGGTGGTGAATCCCGCCGCCGATTTCACGCGGTAAGTTTTCGTTTCCCTTGTGAGATATTATTGCGATATTACTATGAACCTTGTCTCAAATCTCGATGGAAGCAAATTATCCACACATGGCGGATGAATCGATGATGACCCATGCATTATTTATTCTGCCCTATCATACTTGTTCCTTAAAATACAAAGTGAATTCCTCAGGGAAAGTAGTGCATTAACACAAGGACTACCTTCCTTTTCAAGAAATGCTGCGTGACTGTTATCCTGTCACGCTCTATACCGAACTTCGAGTCATGCAGTGTGCAGTTGCAGATATCCTAAGCTTTCCATGGCCGAGCCATCCTGGCAAGAGCTCCTCCGCCTCAGACTATCAGAGCGAAACGCAAAACAAAACGCTTTCGCATCTATAATCGAGCAATGTACGCTCAATTCAACAATCCATAAGACTCCGCTGATCCCCCAATTCAGACCGCAGACTCGCTCAACAAACCAAGCTTCTCAAAGAGCGTAATGCATCTCTCCTCAAAGCCGTCGGCTCGGTTCGCGCAAACCCAAGTAGCTCGACAGTCCATGTACCTGGAACTGCACCAAGCGAAGAGTAAGTTCAGCCATCTCATCCAATACACGTACGTCGATCTCACGTTCTCTGGAACAGCAATCCCGTACGTGCGGCGTACATGGCCTCGCTCGAATCCCAAATTTCATCTCTCCGCGATGAGCTCGCGACCGTGTACAAGACACAAGGCCAGAATGCTCAGCGCCTGCTAGCCATGAACGAAACCCTTCGCGAAAAGGAAGAAGCATCGCGTATCGAGACTGAGAACCTCCGCAAAGCGCGCGAAGAGGTCGGGCATTTACGCAGGAAGGTCGATCAGCATGCCGAGCTCATGGCTGAGAAAGATCGTACTGCACAGGTGCGCTTATATATATCCCTTTTTTTGATCAGTTTTGATCTTGTGCGTAGATCCTCCATGATGAGATCAACACGCTTCAGCTTGAACTCGGCCAGATCGATGAACGGAATCAGACGC